AACAGTCCACTTGACCCAGGCGGAAAAGTGGGTTTTTACGTTACAGAAGTGCCCAGACATAGATTTGAGGGCTTTTTAAAACAAGAAAAGTGCATTGTTTCAGCACTGCTCTTTCTAATGACATTTTCTCATCTCTGATCAAGAGAATCCCATAGGGATATGATATGTGGCACTGTATAAAAGGGGTCGCTCTAGATCACGTTCAGTGGGAGTGAAGCAGTGCCTGATTCCACAAACTACTACTTTTTTTTTTTTTTATTGGACTGTCTTTACCAGAAAGACATACAAGCCCTTTTATTTCCCTCTTGGTAGGAGTTGGAAGGAAAATAGCTCACCATTTCAAGGACGGAAAATATTACTCTGATAAGGAGGAGTCGCTGAACTTTAGGTAAATTCAGACTGGGACACTTTATATTTTCTGGTTAATTTAAGTAACAAAAACTTCTTTTGTAACTGCACTTGACTTACAAGAAAGATGAGGGAAATGAACATCTACCAAAGATGATCGCTTCAAAAAGGTGTAACTTCTAGAACCTACAGAAAACAGTGTGAGATGTAGTAGAGGCATTGACCGACCTCAGATAATAATGTGGTCGGACCCATTGTGCTTTATATTGGCTGTCTGTGAAGATTTCAGAAAAGAAAAAAGACAAAAAAAAAAAAAAATCATTTTGTACCTGTAGATATGGGATAGTATTTGACTATCTGGAGCGTTTCCCTGTCGCACCTCGGTCAGGGGTTGCCGTGTCGCTTAGGTGACAGCTTTACGTTGCAGTTCTGCCAGTGTTAATCTAGCTAATGTTCAGTCTTCCTCACTTGCCCCATCTGCAACAGGTACTTGAATTTGTTTCCTGACAGAGGTTCTTTGCTTAGTTGGTTTGTTTTTCAAATGGCAATGTGACTTGCACACGAAGGGATTGGACTCGCTGCCAGTGGGGAGTGCTGGGAGCTGTGACTGTGGAGCAAGTTCCACTGCTCAAGAGGACTCGGGACTTGAGCTGGGATTCTTTTTACTCTTCCGTGCTCCATACCCCTCTCTAGAGCGACAGTCAAGGAGTGGAAATGTTTGAACACTTGCGCCAGATTATTTTCCCCCCCTAAGGAATTGGGACTGATGTGCGTGACTGAATAACGTCCTGTTTTGTCTCCAGAATGCTTGTAATATTTTTCACAGCCAAGCTTGTCAGACTTGCTTTGGGTTTTGTTAGCTCTGCTGCACAACAGTTACAGATCTTTTGGTTCTTTTTTTTTTTAATTTTCTTTTTAAGCAGGATTTAGTGTTTTGAACAAACCTCTTGCAGTTGAAACATGTTGCTTATCTGCCTTGAAACTGTTTTCACATATGCCTTTGTTTCGGGAATAAGCTGTTTCGAATGTCTGTCCCGTGCTGTAACGCGTGCTACAGTTTGCTGTGTGGAATTTGGTCCTTTTGAGAGATAACTGGTGCTCATCACGTCCTGGTAATTTCCCTAGACTAACTAGCTCTGGTCTGGATTCTGAATGTGGGCTTGTTTTTTTTTTTTTTCCACATTCATACCCACATTCATGATGTGAATCCCGCAGGTCTCAACTTTGAAGGGGACAAAAAGGGGCTAAAGTTTCAGCCCATAAGAGTGCACTGTAAATAGAGTCTTTAAGAAATCAAAAATTAACATTAGGGGTCATAATGCGATACGGATCTTTTTATTCATTCATGGGTCATTCCCTTTGAGATGGGACAAAGTTCTTCTGCCACTGTAGTCCAGTCCCTGTTCTGTGTGATGTGGAGGCTGACACACCGTTGTCTGGGAGGCTGAAGTCTCGTGTCTTAAGGTGTGCAGCTGGAAAAGCCACAAAACAAATGCAGCTATGAGAATATTTTTTAAAAAGGAGGACTTAGAGGGTGTCATCAGCTTAGTTTTGTGGGCATTATATTGGTTGCTTTTCTCTTAAACAGTAAGCACTTAAGTTTACTATCAATTAGAAATTAAATACCAATCACTTTTTATTCTTGACAGTTTTAAAAATCTGCTTTGAATCTGCAACTTTGGCCTGGTAAGTTTGTCATTCTCCTTTTGGGAAACTAGCTTGTACCTTTTGAACTGTTTATCTTTAAATTGCATATTAAAAAAAGACAAGAAAAAAGGGGGAGGAGGAGGGAAGGAAATTAGTGAGCTGCAGACATCCTGCAATGGGACACTACAAAACAAACAACCCAAAGAAAGTAGAATGAAGCTCACACAGCTGGGAGCAACAGTCTCATTCCCTGAATTTCATAAACAGGAATGAAATTAAAATGCAGTTAGTTCCTGCAGCAATCTTGACAGAAGTCATGATACTAAGGGCTTAAGAGCAGTTAACTGTATTTTTTCCTATTCCACTCCAAAAAAAACCCTCCTACTCGGATGAAATTGGCTGTCTCTGGCTCAAGTGATGTGAAAAGCCCCATAAACTCTGTTCACTTTAGCACTTCCCCAATTCTGCCACTTCTGTCAAGTTGCCATACTGTGTGTATTAAAGTAATTAAATGCAATTTTCTCACTTAATGATGTATTACCCAGGTATGTAACTTTGTTTAACATAAGCATTTTGTATATTGTTTACATTTTGAGAGGTAGCATTATGTTAAAAATGCTAATTTTTGTTTCTAGACAGTATTTTTATTACCAGAATAAGAAGTGAAGCTGCAAATATTTGATTTGTTTTTAAAAGGGACGTTTTCTTTTGTTTTTGTTGTTTTGTTTCGTTTTTTTTTTTTTAATCTTGTTTTAGGTCACTTTTTTAACTCAAGTATTTAAAAGGAAAACCCAGCCCTTTCAATTCTGGTTTTACAACTGCTTGTGCTAGTTCGTTGTCTGTTTCTGGTGTGAATTTAGTTCTAGTTTGCTGAAATGTAGATATTTCTGTCTGTAGCATGTACCCTGCAGAACACTTTACACTGAAGTGCATTTGACTGAGAACCACCCTCGGCTGAAAGAGTTGCAGTAGGTAGGCACATCACTCAGATCCTGGTCAGAGTGCAGGATTTTTCAAGAAATTGCAGTGCAATTCTTTGGTTAACTGGAGTTTCAAAAAGAAAAAAAACCTTTAGTGTGCAGTGTCTCTGCAGTGCCCGAAGGCAGGGTGAGTTTGTGTGAGAAGCAAGCTGCAGGATCCGTAGTCCTGCCTGTGCTGAGGGTCTCTCTTTTTCTGAACACGGGCCTAATCTGTCCAAATTTAAGAATTAAAAACTGCTTTGAACCTAGAACTCACCTCTTCCCTGTTGAGATAGCTCCTACAGCGTGAGAGTGGGAGAGGGAAGGCAGAGTGCGCAGTCCCAGTTGGGTGCTGGTCTGCTCCCGCAGTGCAATAAAAACCACTCAAGAACGTGGTGGGTCACCCTTTGATAGGACCCACGTGTTCTGGAGGTGCCAGGCAGCACCCAGCCTTTGGGTTGGTGTTGGCACTAGGAAGAGAGGGCCTCATGTTTGCCGTATGGAAGAGGAATGTCAGCAGGAGTTCACTTCTCCCAGCAAGCAGCGATAGGATCCTTCCCTCTGGTCTCGTACACGCCTCTCTGATTGACCTGGTTTTAATCCTAAAAGCTGTGATGGTGAAATTCATCACAGGGAGAACTTCTGGGGTAGTAGGTGACTCCAGATTTCCTGCGTAAATGAGGCTGTACTCCCACATCCGAGAGTCCCAGTTTTGAATTGGATCGTCATAATCAGCAAGAACACTGCAACACTTGAGTCTTATTTCCTTTCCTGGGAGGAAACTCCTGCTTTCCCCCCCAGGAGCGCTGCCCCAGCCACCTTTGGGGGGGTGTCAGCTGGGGACTCGCCTCTCAGCCCCAGAAAGGCACAAAGCGAGGTGGTGCCGTAGTTACGGGCCGCGTTCGGTGGGCTTGTGTCAGCCTGGACAGACAGACGCCTCCCAGTCCTGGGACCACTCTGCCCTCTTTGGAGATGCCTCCCTCCCTTCCAGCTGCACAGGGGTCAAAGCCTTGAACCCCGAGGTGGTGCAAACCTTTCAGAAGTCCTGAACGTGGTTTGCAACACTGATCTGAGACAGATGGTCCTTCACATAGCTCCAGGAACAAAACAGCTCTCTCCCCGTCCATGTCTTAAACACCCCGTGCCAGGTTTGCCCGTCAGCTACTCCTGCAGAGCCCTTCTCCAGTGTCCATATTAGCCACCACTGATTTTCCTTGCTCTTTGAAGTGAATTCGTGTTGTAACAGCGATGGCAAAGCTCGGGAAGCCAACTGCTGCTCGTCCATCCTTTTTAGTGGTTTGGGTTTTCACCACTCAGAAGTTGTGCTGGTCTTTGTTCAGCTGCACAAGGCGAAACGCAGCTGGATTGAGTTGTGTCAAGTGAGCGTGTTACACACAGGTCACAAGGGTGGGCAGGGCTAATCAGTGCGACTGAAAAAATGTGAATAAATTAAGTTTAATCTAAAACTACAGGAAAAAAAAAGCGTACTAGGTTTTTTCACTGCTGTTTTTTAAATAGGAATTTTAAGTCCTCTGTGCTTGTCTGTTTGCTAGGAGCAGTTTGAGACACTGTTACTGTTTTGAAATGCATGCATGTTACAAGATGAGTCTCCAACCAGAGAAAAATAAAATTAAAACTTTGTGTACATCTGTTCCTTACTGCTGTCCTCTTTAAAGCACTCGTAACGAGCTCTTAATCCATGAGGTACGTGGTCCTTTCCACTCCCAGATTAACCACAACTGGAAAAGTCTTTTTACACCTGCCTGTAAAATGGGGGGGTTTAAGTAAGAAATGTTTTTACTGAGTCTTGGATACGAGAACAAATGAGACTGGACAGGAAAAGTTAACACTGCCACACTGTCTGGAGGAGATGCTGCTGTCTCCCTGGGGCACAGCAGAAGCTCAGGCACCCAGGTGTACTGAGGGAGATGAGTACAGGTGGCTTGGGGAGATGGGTGAGCTCTGCTGCTGTGTAAAACCCAAGCTCCTTCCGACAGCTTGAGAGAGGAGAACTCAATCCTGTATTCAGACTCAAGAAAACCAAAGTTCACTACAATAGAGAGTTTTATTTAAAAAAGTTCCGAGCAGACTGGGATGTGAAACACAGGAGCGGGTGTGCTGGCCTAGTCCATGCGAGCTTTCAGGGTCCTGGTGGTGATTTTGTCTTTCTCACTAGAGGGGGAAAGAGAAGACTTTTAGTAAATCCGCGTTTAACACCTACGTACAGATTGTCCTTCCGTCAGGAAGTTGCAGGGTGCGTAGGTGGTTGGTTTGCTCTGCTGGCACGGTCACCTGAACTTGAAGGTGGCCGTTAGGACTGAGTAAACCCCCTCCTCCTCCTCCTCCTCTTGCACCTCACCCCCAGGGAGCTCCAGTGGGTTCAGTGCCTGCGGCGCTGCAGGGAAACAGCACCACGGGCAAAATAAACTGCTTCAGGAGCCAGCCTGGTTGCAGAGTCTGCAAGTTAACGTCACACCCAGCTGTGGCAAAGAGCAGCCTCTTGGCCAGTGTGTGACGAGTCCCACTCCTGAGCAGCAATGGGAATGCAGCCAGGGAATGCCTGTGCAGCACGGTTCTAACTGTAGGATTGATGTCCCATGGCTCCTGCAGTTCTACAACGGAGAGCCATGAGAAATAAAACACTCTGAATGGACAAAGCGTTAGAGATGCTGCTGGAAGGGAGCAGCTGGAAACCAGTTCCTTGACTGACTTTAACACTCAGCTTGTTAAATTCTGCCTCTGTTCTGTAGGGGAAGAGAGCAGCACTTACATTATGTGCACTACCACGCCCATTCCAGACAGGGCATCTCTGTCCACCGCGTTCAGCATGGCCTGCGAGATTGTTTCGAAGAGGTGGTCGGGTTCCTGAGGAGCAGAAGCTGGTTTAGTTGGTGTAAAAACTGAATGTTGAGTCATCAGGTTTTGTTCACACCCCAAAGTACCATCGAAGACACTGCAAGATTGTTTTTCCTGCAGGCTGATAGAAGCTACAACCTCTTTGTTGTCCTGAGCTCCTTCTGGAAGCACCAAAGGACAGAGCTTTTCATCCAACCCGCGTTCTCAGGTTCTCCAGTTAACAGCAGGAGGCTGAATCCGAGAACCAGAGCTGATCCCGACCACCTCACTCACCATGTCGGGCTCCCAGAGGGACTCGCACATGCCGTACATCTGCTCGGAGCAGGTGCCGCTGACCACGAAGTCATCCGTGACCATCGGGCAGCCGATCAGGTCTAGGGAGCAGATGAAAGGTTCGTGTGTTATGGGGTCCAGCCCAGCAATGACTGGTTCCGTGTAGTACGGTCCGAACCTGGGGAGAACAACATGGCATAGAGCAGTCCGACCACCTTGATGCAGTTCCACATCCCGCGTAAACATCCACTCAACGAAAACATCCCGCAGATGCCTTCGGTGGAGGACCTTTCAGGTCAACCTAAAAGCACCCTGCAATGGTTTCAGCGTGGCAAACAGAACAAACTTGTACTGCTACAGGATTATTTCGACAATACTCAGTATTCTTTTGCAAGGAGGTTGAAGATGACATTGTCACTAGGGTAAAGCCTCCTTTGCCACACCACAGGAGCCCTCCCCAACCTCCCAGCTCTCTAGAATCAGATCAGCTCCAACACCACCGCCTTCGCTGACACGTAAACAGTGCCTCTGTGGTTTGACCATTACCGTCTCTCGTAGAGCAGATTGGAAACCATGCTCATAAAAGTCTGAGGCTTGATCTGCCTTCCTTCCTTCAGCTCGTAGAGGTTCAGCCTGAACTTCAGCCTCTGGGCACTGTGAGAGATGAGAATCGGCGTTAAAGCAGAAGCAGGTTCCTTTTTCTTTCAGCTTTACCCAGGCCAGAACTGTCCTGCATGTTGACCAACACCAGTTCCTTACGCACCGGCTCCGTACGGGAACGTGAGGGCAGGAGGGAGTCCCACTTACACCGTCTGCACGTCCGTGGCCA